TTATTATTATATATAAGAATAATAAAAATTATACATAAAAATAAAAATTAATTATAATACTTGCTAATTTACAATAGATTAAAATTTATATAATATTTTGGAGAAACAAAAAATTTATACTTTAATATTATAAAATATTGAAATTAATATTCTATTAAACTTCCATTTTGATAAATAAACTTTTAATCTTTTGATTGATGATATGAAATTCTTAACATTAAAATATTGTCCCATTTTTATTTTAAAACTTCTATTAAATTCTATTATTTCGATATTATGTTTTCGTATTTTTTTTTTTTTTTTTTTAATTTTTTCACCATATCTTTTTAATAAAATTCAAATTATTGAAGAAATGATATATATATATTAACAATATGATTAACATATTGTTAATATATTGTATAAATATTATATAAACATAGCTATTATTGCACTAATGTTAATAATAAATAGTTTCTTTCTAATAATAATCCTTTTTTTATATCCAACATGATGGATTATTTTTCGAATATATATTTCCAAATACACTTCTTTATGCGCTTCTTTTTACATATTATACATATTATATTTCTTTTTTTTTTTTTTATATTAATATAACTTTAAATAAATTAAATCTGATTTTTTTAATGTTTCAAAAAATTATTCTTCTGAAGATAATTTTCTAAGTCATTTTTCTGTAAATTCTGCAATTCTTCTTTTCTGTTAAAAATTTATTTTTTAATTTGTTAACTAATAATTTATATCATAAAACAATTTTTTTTTATTTGAAATTTTGGAATAAAACTTTTCTTTTTTATATAATTTAAAATAATTTTTGTCTCTTTTAATGTATTTTCTTCATTTTATTGTCACTTTACTTTTCGATGTTTTATCATATTGAATAGTTTCAAGTAACTGATTCTAGATCTTTTGTTGCAATATTTATTTCTATTTCAATCCCTATATTTTAATATCTTTTATATATTTAAATAAATGATACAATGTACAAATGTACAAATACTTTTATTTCTTCAAAAATATTATCGTTCTATATATTTAATTAACTTTTGTTTATATACATATGATAGTCTATAGATATATAACATATAATTAATATATATGTTGCAAATACTATAAATATTATACTCTCATATATTTAAATATATAAGAATTTAAGAAATAAAAAAAAATTTATTCAATTAATATCAATTGGATATATGCAGGATAATAAATTAATATATACAGGATTTTATATTAATAGGAATTTAAAAATTAAAAAAAAAAGATTAAAAAAAAAAGATTTTATTAATCAATAAAAATGAATTGGATTTAATTAAATAATGTGAAAAATATATTTTCTTTAAATAAGATTATTTGTTAAACAATTTGTGTATATCAGATATTATTTGATGAACAAAATGAACATAATAAAATGAGACAATATATTATTTATCATTACTATTTGTAATATTTTACATATTACTATTCAAAAATCAAGTATATAATAATATAAATAAATATATTATTTAATATAAAATATTTTATTTAATATAAATATATATCTGAATAGAATATAAATTATTCTATTCAGAAAAAATACTTTTTTATTCTATTAAGAAAAATATGGACCGAAATTGGATTTCAATTAAAGAATTCTTTGGAATTAATAAAATATATGCAATATGAAAATA